TGCTTCGCACTTTAATTCAGCAGATCTTTGAATTTATTAAAAATTGAGAATTAAGTCAGAGCTCAGAGCATTGCTCGAAGCGCCCTAAAATCTAGAAAATAAGCTTTAAAATTAAGTGAAGGAGACGCCTCAAGACATAATTTAACTTCGCGCCAGCTGACTTTTTTTGCTTCGCACTTTAATTCAGCAGATCTTTGAATTTATTAAAAATTGGGAATTCAGTCAGAGCTCAGAGCATTGCTCGAAGCGCCCTAAAATCTAGAAAATAAGCTTCAAAATTAAGTGAAGGAGACACCTCAACACATGATTTAACTTCGCGCAAGCTGAGTTTTTTTGCTTCGCAGATCTTTGAATTTATTAAAAATTGAGAATCCAGTCAGAGCTCAGAGCATTGCTCGAAGCGCCCTAAAATCTAGGAAATAAGCTTTAAAATTAAGTGAAGGAGACGCTTCAACACATGATTTAACTTCGCGCAAGCTGAGTTTTTTTGCTTCGCACTTTAATTCAGCAGATCTTTGAATTTATTAAAAATTGAGAATTCAGTCAGAGCTCAGAGCATTGCTTGAAGCGCCCTAAAATCTAGAAAATAAGCTTTAAAATTAAGTGCAGGAGACGCCTCAACACATGATTTAACTTCGCGCCTGCTGACTTTTTTTGCTTCGCACTTTAATTCAGCAGATCTTAGAATTTATTAAAAATTGAGAATTAAGTCAGAGCTCAGAGCATTGCTCGAAGCGCCCTAAAATCTAGAAAATAAGCTTTAAAATTAAGTGAAGGAGACGCCTCAACACATAATTTAACTTCGCGCCAGCTGACTTTTTTTGCTTCGCACTTCAATTCAGCAGATCTTTGAATTTATTAAAAATTGAGAATTCCGTCAGAGCTCAGAGCATTGCTCGAAGCGCCCTAAAATCTAGAAAATAAGCTTTAAAATTAAGTGAAGGAGACGCTTCAACACATGATTTAACTTCGCGCAAGCTGAGTTTTTTTGCTTCGCACTTTAATTCAGCAGATCTTTGAATTTATTAAAAATTGAGAATTCAGTCAGAGCTCAGAGCATTGCTTGAAGCGCCCTAAAATCTAGAAAATAAGCTTTAAAATTAAGTGAAGGAGACGCCTCAACACATGATTTAACTTCGCGCCAGCTGACTTTTTTTGCTTCGCACTTTAATTCAGCAGATCTTTGAATTTATTAAAAATTGAGAATTCAGTCAGAGCTCAGAGCATTGCTCGAAGCGCCCTAAAATCTAGAAAATAAGCTTTAAAATTAAGTGCAGGAGACGCCTCAACACATGATTTAACTTCGCGCAAGCTGAGTTTTTTTGCTTCGCACTTTAATTCAGTAGATCTTTGAATTTATTAAAAATTGAGAATTCAGTCAGAGCTCAGAGCATTGCTCGAAGCGCCCTAAAATCTAGAAAATAAGCTTTAAAATTAAGTGAAGGAGACGCCTCAACACATGATTTAACTTCGCGCCAGCTGACTTTTTTTGCTTCGCACTTTAATTCAGCAGATCTTTGAATTTATTAAAAATTGAGAATTCAGTCAGAGCTCAGAGCATTGCTCGAAGCGCCCTAAAATCTAGAAAATAAGCTTTAAAATTAAGTGAAGGAGACGCCTCAACACATGATTTAACTTCGCGCAAGCTGAGTTTTTTTGCTTCGCACTTTAATTCAGCAGATCTTTGAATTTATTAAAAATTGAGAATTCAGTCAGAGCTCAGAGCATTGCTCGAAGCGCCCTAAAATCTAGAAAATAAGCTTTAAAATTAAGTGCAGGAGACGCCTCAACACATGATTTAACTTCGCGCCAGCTGACTTTTTTTGCTTCGCACCTTAATTCAGCAGATCTTTGAATTTATTAAAAATTGAGAATTCAGTCAGAGCTCAGAGCATTGCTTGAAGCGCCCTAAAATCTAGAAAATAAGCTTTAAAATTAAGTGCAGGAGACGCCTCAACACATGATTTAACTTCGCGCCTGCTGACTTTTTTTGCTTCGCACTTTAATTCAGCAGATCTTTGAATTTATTAAAAATTGGGAATTCAGTCAGAGCTCAGAGCATTGCTCGAAGCGCCCTAAAATCTAGAAAATAAGCTTCAAAATTAAGTGAAGGAGACACCTCAACACATGATTTAACTTCGCGCAAGCTGAGTTTTTTTGCTTCGTACTTTAATTCAGCAGATCTTTGAATTTATTAAAAATTGAGAATTCAGTCAGAGCTCAGAGCATTGCTTGAAGCGCCCTAAAATCTAGAAAATAAGCTTTAAAATTAAGTGCAGGAGACGCCTCAACACATGATTTAACTTCGCGCCTGCTGACTTTTTTTGCTTCGCACTTTAATTCAGCAGATCTTTGAATTTATTAAAAATTGGGAATTCAGTCAGAGCTCAGAGCATTGCTCGAAGCGCCCTAAAATCTAGAAAATAAGCTTTAAAATTAAGTGAAGGAGACGCCTCAACACATGATTTAACTTCGCGCAAGCTGAGTTTTTTTGTTTCGCACTTTAATTCAGCAGATCTTTGAATTTATTAAAAATTGAGAATTCAGTCAGAGCTCAGAGCATTGCTCGAAGCGCCCTAAAATCTAGAAAATAAGCTTTAAAATTAAGTGCAGGAGACGCCTCAACACATGATTTAACTTCGCGCCAGCTGACTTTTTTTGCTTCGCACCTTAATTCAGCAGATCTTTGAATTTATTAAAAATTGAGAATTCAGTCAGAGCTCAGAGCATTGCTCGAAGCGCCCTAAAATCTAGAAAATAAGCTTTAAAATTAAGTGCAGGAGACGCTTCAACACATGATTTAACTTCGCGCAAGCTGACTTTTTTTGCTTCGCACTTTAATTCAGCAGATCTTTGAATTTATTAAAAATTGAGAATTCAGTCAGAGCTCATAGCATTGCTCGAAGCGCCCTAAAATCTAGAAAATAAGCTTTAAAATTAAGTGAAGGAGACGCTTCAACACATGATTTAACTTCGCGCAAGCTGAGTTTTTTTGTTTCGCACTTTAATTCAGCAGATCTTTGAATTTATTAAAAATTGAGAATTCAGTCAGAGCTCAGAGCATTGCTCGAAGCGCCCTAAAATCTAGAAAATAAGCTTTAAAATTAAGTGAAGGAGACGCCTCAACACATGATTTAACTTCGCGCAAGCTGAGTTTTTTTGCTTCGCACTTTAATTCAGCAGATCTTTGAATTTATTAAAAATTGAGAATTCAGTCAGAGCTCAGAGCATTGCTCGAAGCGCCCTAAAATCTAGAAAATAAGCTTTAAAATTAAGTGCAGGAGACGCCTCAACACATGATTTAACTTCGCGCCAGCTGACTTTTTTTGCTTCGCACCTTAATTCAGCAGATCTTTGAATTTATTAAAAATTGAGAATTCAGTCAGAGCTCAGAGCATTGCTTGAAGCGCCCTAAAATCTAGAAAATAAGCTTTAAAATTAAGTGCAGGAGACGCCTCAACACATGATTTAACTTCGCGCCTGCTGACTTTTTTTGCTTCGCACTTTAATTCAGCAGATCTTTGAATTTATTAAAAATTGGGAATTCAGTCAGAGCTCAGAGCATTGCTCGAAGCGCCCTAAAATCTAGAAAATAAGCTTCAAAATTAAGTGAAGGAGACACCTCAACACATGATTTAACTTCGCGCAAGCTGAGTTTTTTTGCTTCGTACTTTAATTCAGCAGATCTTTGAATTTATTAAAAATTGAGAATTCAGTCAGAGCTCAGAGCATTGCTTGAAGCGCCCTAAAATCTAGAAAATAAGCTTTAAAATTAAGTGCAGGAGACGCCTCAACACATGATTTAACTTCGCGCCTGCTGACTTTTTTTGCTTCGCACTTTAATTCAGCAGATCTTTGAATTTATTAAAAATTGGGAATTCAGTCAGAGCTCAGAGCATTGCTCGAAGCGCCCTAAAATCTAGAAAATAAGCTTTAAAATTAAGTGAAGGAGACGCCTCAACACATGATTTAACTTCGCGCAAGCTGAGTTTTTTTGTTTCGCACTTTAATTCAGCAGATCTTTGAATTTATTAAAAATTGAGAATTCAGTCAGAGCTCAGAGCATTGCTCGAAGCGCCCTAAAATCTAGAAAATAAGCTTTAAAATTAAGTGCAGGAGACGCCTCAACACATGATTTAACTTCGCGCCAGCTGACTTTTTTTGCTTCGCACCTTAATTCAGCAGATCTTTGAATTTATTAAAAATTGAGAATTCAGTCAGAGCTCAGAGCATTGCTTGAAGCGCCCTAAAATCTAGAAAATAAGCTTTAAAATTAAGTGCAGGAGACGCCTCAACACATGATTTAACTTCGCGCCTGCTGACTTTTTTTGCTTCGCACTTTAATTCAGCAGATCTTTGAATTTATTAAAAATTGGGAATTCAGTCAGAGCTCAGAGCATTGCTCGAAGCGCCCTAAAATCTAGAAAATAAGCTTTAAAATTAAGTGCAGGAGACGCCTCAACACATGATTTAACTTCGCGCAAGCTTAGTTTTTTTGTTTCTATCTTTTTTCCACCATTTATTGAGCGATTTTTAATATACACCAGTTGTAACTAAAATAACGGTACAATATCAAATATCAGGTTTTTTGCAAATTTTCTCTAAACCGTTATTATTATTATTATTAAATAAACAGCAATAATAATAATAATAATAACGGTTTAGAGAAAATTTGCAAAAATCCTGATATTTGATATTGTACCGCTATTTTAGTTACTACGTTGTAATAATTCAAATTTTTGTCATTTCATAAATAACTGTCAAAACTTTATAAGTTTTTGGAGTTAATCATGGATTGAAATTCATTTTGCAATCTTAAAAACGAGATTTAAAGTTAGCTTTTTATTGTTAGCATCTGCATCTGCAGGACAAACATTAAGCTTGAGAATGAAAATTAATTTTTTTGTTTTTAATTTTTAATTCGTGCCAAAATAATCAAACCATTTTAATCAAATTTAATATTAATTTTTCGAGTAGTAAAAGAAAAAACAGATTGATACCTGTGTCTCGGACCCAGTAGTTGATCGAACGTGGCGAAGCTTCGACTTGGCATTCAAGAGTTACGTCAGTCCCTAGTGGGGCACCAACTAGTTGATTGGGAACTTGAATGACTGGGTGAACTGCAAAATCACGTACAAGAGAGATTCAATTACAAAAAAAGACAACCGAAACCATTTTGGCAAAAGTCAATTTAAATTCAGTCGCGCTGAAATCAAAGAATTCAGATTGCATCGGATAGATATAATTGACAAAAATAATGAACTGTCAGTTGAGAGCTTCAATTTTCGGCCGTTTTCATCGATGCACGTTCACGCGTGGGCACAAAACACGCCGGCAGTTGGGAGTTGTGAAATCGATTATTATCTGCGCCAAATGCAGAGGCAAAGATTGAAATCAACCGGGCTGATCCAATAACAGCGATTGGCAAAACGTCCGTCCAACACTGATGGTTAAGGCAATTATAATATCGGCGCACGGGCTATTCAATAATCGCTCTCGTGCAGGTATGGACGGACGAGAGAGACAGAAGGCAATAAAAACACGGACGGGCCGCACACAACTAAATTGGCTGTCAACGAGATGAGTGCTGCACACAAAAGAGCGCGGTCAACATTAAATTCATCCGCATTCATCGCGAGTGCAAATCAAAAATAAAATAAAAGGATATAATAGGAGCGAATGACCCGATAAGCCATAATAAGTATTGGCTCTGGCATTTTCGAATTCATAAATTGCGCTATGAATTTATTGTTAAAATTTATCACTAGATGTGTATAATTTGCCATCATAGATTTGTCATCTATTATTGGAATATAAAAAGTTAATTGAGAAAATAACTGCTGAATGTTTAGAGATGACGAACAAAGGATTTAATTTGCTATTTATTTTTAAAAAGAGTGAGAGCAAACAATGCGTACAAACTACAATTAAATTTTTTCTATTATTTAATTTAAATTTAGTGAAAATCTTTAAAAAAGCTTTATTATTGGAAAAATTAATCATAAATTTGACAATTGAATATAACTTGTAATGAGGTCAACAATTGAAAAATAATCTAAAATGATAAATAATTAAAAATAAAATTAAACCAAAAATTGAATTGTATAGTTAATTGCAAGATTGCAACAATAAAATCTTTTTTTTTTAATTTGCCTGAAATGCTTGAGAATCGTTTAGTTAAAAAAAAAGTGCAAAATATGTATGATTCATGATTAACGTTTGGAAGCAGACTTACTGTAATAATGAACAAAATAATTATTTCATTAATTGAATTTCAAAACTCTGTTGTAAACAAATTCAATATTAATTTTAAATTTATCAAACAAAGGCCTCTTTTTTGCGCCAGCCTTTGTAATATAAGCATGAAAGGCGCCGGTAATATTGATCAGCAGCCGATCATTCAAATGTCGAGTGGCGCAGCTAATGGCACTGTTATTAAATTTGGGATGCTTTTCAGTTGATTAGCGCGGAAAAAATCAATGGCGATGAGAGAGAGAGAGTGCGGTTGACACTCAATGAATCATCACACAGCGGGCTGACCATCGCCATAATGCGGCCCGCAGACTTTGAAAAAACAACACACGCTCTCTCGCTTGCTCGCGGATATGATTAATCGCGTTCCCTCTCCGGCGACGAGATTGATGGTGCGTCCTAATTAGTGGCCCCCTTTGTTTCGTATCAATTATTGACGCCATTAATTTAAGAGGTCAGTCGCGTCGCTGATTAATGACTATCAAATGAAGTGCGTCACTCACAGTGCACGTTAACCATGATCCGTTTGCTGACCGAGGGTGGAATCCCGTTTGAGGCGATGCACAGGTAGGCGCCCATCTCTGACCGGGTCACCTTCGACAGCTTCAGAAACTCGCCTTGGAAGTTGGACACTGAAACATAAGGAGGAAATAATTAGAAAAATTGATTGATTTGGAAAAACTACGGTCTTGAACTTCAATATGCCTTCTTATATGATTTTTTTTTTTTTTTTTTTAATTAATGAAATGATTATTGAACACCACGATGTGCATAAATTCATGTTATATAAAACAAAAATCAAAGTTGTTAAATAATCACACCTCCTTACGGTAAAATATTTTACTCTCAAAATTAGCCTCAATAAAATTAATAAAAATTGCATTAGGCCACGTTACATCTTACAATTAAGACAAAACAAAAGTTTGGCCTTCCAATTTATATCAAGCTAATGTGAACTGTACGAGATGAAAGTTTTAAATGATCTGATGCATATTAAATTTTCAAATCACTTTTCATAAGAAACTATAAATTAATAAATAAGCAATTACAAATAATTCTTGATATACTTATTTTTTTTTTTAAATTTGTGAGCTTTTTAATTTGGTATTAATTTTGGCTCAATATTATTACTGAACCGCATTAACTGCAAAAGAAAAGAAGTATTAAATTTTCCAAAACATAATTTGAAAAATTAAATTACGTTTTGGAAACTGATTATTATTTCACCACTTTTTGCATTTCTGGCAAATAAAAAACGTAGAAGAAAAATTAAATAAAATTTCTTAGCTTGCTGTTTTTTCCAAGTGCCTGTTGTGAATTTTGAGCCCAAGTAAGAAGCAATAATGCGCTTATTTGAGTTTGCGTAACATTTTGTTTTCTTCAGATATTTTATCAAATTGTATGTATACAGTTTTATTTATTTTATAAGGGTCTTTCCCTACTAAATTCTTTCTCTTTCCAGTATAAAAGCATAACTCAAGCCTTTTCTTGCCCTCTTATCGTAGCACGTCCCCGTAAGTAAGAAAAAGTGGCGTTGCCACTTTTGCAAACAGCTTCTTCCTCGTTGTGCTGCTTTCAAGTGGGACGCAGATCAGGAAGCCAATTACCATTGTAGATGTATAAGTAATTGGCGTAATCTGCTTATGCTCTCTGGGCGATAATTAGAGCCGACCTCGTTACACGCACACCACCTTGTGGAACGAACGCCTCCAAAGGACAACAACAATCAAACAGAGCTGCAGCGTTTCTAAAGCCGTGATTATTCAAGCGTTAATCACATTAAACTTATTGTGCGCATGCAAATGATGTGCGCCCCTCTTTTACACACATACATATCGCCCGTTTGTGCAGTACAATGAGTGCTCTGCGCCAAATCACTTGTTCTTCTTCTCTCCACCTAGCTCATTTTCGAAAGCCGCAAAACCAGCGTTCTGCCTCGGCTCCATTTCCACTTTGTCTATTTTCTGTTTTGTATGTTTTGTAACAACTTTAATCGCAAGTATAACGCGCAAAGCCAAAGTTAACTCTCTAGTTGCTGCTGTGAGCTAAAAGCGTGCCCTGTTTTGTGAAATTTATTTAATTTAATGAGTGGCGCAGTTGTGCAAGCTTTTTATGCAAAGGTCAAAGACCGCTTAACAAATTGTAAAAAAAAATAAAGAAATAGAGAGTTATGACAGATGATGTAGAGAAATTAAATGACTTTGCGATAACATACCATTGGTGCATTTTTATATCAATATTTTCGTAATTATAACAATATTGATATAATATCAAAAATAGTATTTTATTTTTAATTTTATTTTAATTAATAGTAAAATTGAAACACTCGGCTGATGTGGTGAAATTTCTAAAAACTCGGCTGATGTGGTAAAATTTCTAAACACACACCAGTCGAAATTATTTTAAATCAATAAAAATAATGCCAATGAATACTCTGAATTGATTCCGTATGTATTTCATCGATACCAAATGCTAGATAATTTATTATACTTTTTAGCACTCTGCACTTCAAAAATTTTTTAACACCTCAGAAGTATCTTAATTTAAAAACACTTAGTACACACGCACGTTTAATTATTGATGTGTATAAGAATGTATTATATAATTAAAATATCGGCATTTTCCGTTAGCCACTGCAAGAGGCATGCGTATGTACCATGTGCACACATGCTTTGCACTTGTTCCCTTTTTAATCTGTAGCGCGACAGCGGCAATTATCAGGCTGCTCTCTCTTCGCGCTGTGCAAAAGAGAGGGCAAATATTTCGTGCGCATATCTCCGTCAGTCAGCTTTTGATATGGTGATTGCAGTGCTGAGTCGTGCGCATTCTGTTTTATCTCCTAATTAGCAGGCTTATGCCCTTTGAGCATATGCATTAACAAAAACTCGCGCCCCTTAGTTGTGCCATGGATATCCGTATTTCAAACAAGCAGAGTCAAAACGTGGAAAACAAGCTGGAAACTCCACTTCGGTCTGCTGTGTGTTCACATTTAAACTGAAACCTGGGAGAAAATCTGGGCTCTACACAAACAGCGACTGATCTCAACAGGTACACTCGAGTGCTTTCTCAACAATGAATTTTTTCGTTCGCTTCTCGATTATTGAATAAATTTTTCCTTCGGGTAATATTGAAATTGTCTTTGCCAAAGCCGGAGCGAAAGCGCGATCGCAATGAAATAAAAAGTGGAGACAGAGCACCACCAAGGCCTTTATTTTTCCATTACAGTCAATTTGGCTGGCACATCTCCCCGACGCAGGCAGTTTGGCTCTCTGTCCTGCCAAATGAGGTGGAAATGTCAAAAGTGAACGTGGTGTTTTGCTCGGCAGCCCCTTTGATCAGCGCGCAACACCACTTTCCTCCGCTATCTATCTGCAGACAATGAGGCATGCAGTGAATTTTTAGATAGCGACGACGGCAACTATAGGACGCCCTTTTATGTGGCCAGTGCGAAAATTCGCAGCAGAGACACCCTGGAAAAAACGGACCCCTGGCCTCTTTCTGCACGTCTGACTAAAGCACTGGCGCGAAAACTGGGCATTGATTGCCGTCTCGGCATCCAAAACAGAGGGAAAGAAAAAATAGACAAACAACTGCAGAGCAGCATATTCGTTTGTATAAATATCTTTGTGTGCCATTTCAGAATCTAGTACATATTCTATTTCCCAATAGGCTCTCACTCAAAAAGCAATAAAAATACAAACAATTTAGAATAAATTCCATAGATTTTGATTATTAAATGCTCTTAGAAATTATATTTTTAGTTTATTTTAGGTTTCCATATTTTGACCTAAAACTGTATGAATATTAATAAAGAAAAAAAGTAATAAACCAGAAAAGAAGAATATCAAAGTATCAAAGAAAATAGAGAAAAGTATGTCAAAATCAAATTTAGATCTCAACAGCGAATAGGTCAATTTATTATTGTTAAAACCTTGTGCCATCTCAATAAGAAAAATGGTATGCAAATAAATAAGAAATGTTAAGATAAAAAGTTTCGCTCTACGTTGAGATGGTGGGATATACAGCAAATATCTAATGGTAATTTTGCCAGCAGGAATACATTATGTGTGTATGCTCATCACTGAATTAAATTAAATTTCATTGTTTTATATTAATATTTATAATCATTGTTGAATCTTTCCTTTTCGTTTATATTAAAAATCAGAGCATTCAGAGCTCATTTGAATGATTGAACTTCATTTTCCGAAAGATATTTTCAGGACTTAATAATTAGGAGTCTCTTTCAAGAGCAATAATGACACTCAGAGCAGTGCTGCGGAAAAGCTGCGAGAGGATTATTTTCACAGGTGAAAACACCGAGTGAAAGGAACTCAAAACTCATAACACACACACGCTCAACTTTTTCTAAGGGGGATTGTGCGTCACCAGCCAGCATTTTTTGAAAAATGTTTCCGCGAAAGCAGCTTAAGCGCTCTTTAAGGCGTGCGTGGCGAAATTAAATTTGAGATAATAAAGAGACGCGCTGCAGGTAAATAAGTCGCTGGCTCATGCAAGGTGACAGCGCCGCCGCTTTCATGTAGCGCTGCTCAATCAATTTAACGCGTCTCTTCGTGTTACATATCAAAGCGCGCGCCATGAATATTTCACGCGGCAAAAGTTACACGAAGAGAGCGAGCGAGCGCGAAAGCGAGTGGCAACGCCGCTGTCATCTCCGGGTGATGAAAAAAAAGGACGAGCCAAAGAAAGAATGAAAGAAGAAAAGTTGCACCGCAAGAAGTGAAAGAGGAAGAAAGACAATGATTGCGCGGTGAGCAGGTGTGAATTGTCACAGTGGCAAAAATATTTATCACCCGCCGCACATGAATTATAAAACGGGAAAGGGAGGAAAAAGAGGAAACACACGCAGACAACCGCCCTGCAACGTGAGAGGGAGGCGATCCATTTTTGAGTTATGCAACCGGCACGACGTGCGAGCTCAACAAAAAGCCTAAATCTGATTTTGACTTGTACGTGTGCTTTCGAGAGAGGGAGGTCTCTGCTTGGTAAAGGTGGTGGCAAAAGGGCTTCAAATTTCAAGCCCATATAATCCAGCCAAATGGAAAAAATAGAATTGGAAAAAAAATGGATCTAAATATGACTTATCTTTCCTTGTTTGGTTTTGAATTATTTAAGTTGCTTAATATGTTTTCAATGATCTTTAGGTTGCTCTAACTGATTTACTAACAATAAGATTGACTTTGTTAATTGATTTTTTGAAGTAAAAAATAAAATTAATTTATCTTACGTGTGGTCTTAAGAAGAATAGAATGGTTAAAACCAATTTACTCTCTTAAGTCTTTAGAGTGATCGAGTCTTTTGTTCAGTCTCAACGTTTTATTTTATTTCCAGCTGTTCAAATTATAAATGTTTACATTTTTACTACAAGTTTTTGCTGAATTTGGAATGTTCATGAGTATTTCAAAGTTTTCTCAGCTATCGTCATCGTTTTAACTGAACATTATTACAAAAATATATTAGATACTTATTAGAAAAATAACTAATTTGTCTTTTCAGAATTGTTTAGAAGCCAATTAGGAAATTCATGAAATAACTGGCAATATGACACTTTTTATTTAATATTCTCCAACGCAGTTACTGTCGGAGCGATATAGCTTTTTGATTTGTTCAACCCCATGTGAGGGAAGCGCGCCCTCTCTCTCTGCTGGTTGATGACAAGAGGCAGGCGATGTTTTGCGCCAGAGACTAATTGTGTTTGGCCTGGCCGAGTACATTGGCTGGAAGAAGCGGATAAGGAAAAATAGGAGAGCAGAGAAGGAATGGCTATCGCAAGACAAACGACCTGGCCATTAGGAGGTGGTTTTCTCGCGCGTAACTGCGAGAGCAAAGTTGCGCGCCGCAGCCGAGCAAATTGCCATTAATTTAAGCAGCTGCAGATTTCAAACGAAGAAAGAAAAAGAAAGAAGAAGAGAGGAAAGGAAAGGGTCTCGGCGAGAAACACAGGCAATTAGGCTGCAAATTGATTCAAGAGCCACTTAGCAGACGGAATGAATTTATCCCCGTGTCTTATTAGCGCGGCGCAACAAGAAGTTGTAACGCGCGCGCGTTTTATTTTCATTGCCTCGAGGGCCCCTATTCATCATCGAGCCGCGTCTCGCACCAGACTTTATTAAAAACGCCTTGTGAAGAATCGCTTTTTGCATTTGCGCCTCGTTTAAATGAGAAAAAAATGCTGCCAGCAGGTGACGAGTGGGCCAATAGCAGCGCCACGAATTCGCCAACTTCAAAAGGAGCTCGAATTAGCAAAGCGAAAATTAGTAAAAATTAAGCCGCCGCACATTTCAAGCTGGGGAGATTAGGAGCAAAAGGGTTCAAAGAGAGGCTGGCTTAACATCCACCCTAGAATTTCCAATGTTCATTTGGCAAAAACCGGCAAAAGCGTTGTTTCTGGTCAATTTTTGCTGCGGGTAATATTATACTAATGTAAAATTTTGATACTCACACCACCGGTCGAATTTTAGTAGCGTGTGGGCAAATATTTTACGAGCTCTGCGGCTGTGTCAATTGGCGAAATTATCAGTCATGGGTGGACCTGAAATTGATATGGCTGGTGGGGAATACATCTGCCATATTCGTTTCAAAAGTTGGAGAAAAAAGGATAATATTAGGTTTTTGGTAAATAAATTGATAGTCAGTTGATGCGTAAATAATTATTTAATCTATACTTAACTGTAATTTCGCATTAAATTTATCAGACATGGTAAATAAATTATTTAAAAAATTAAATTAATGTAGGCTTGCAATTTAATATTGAACATTATACATATAATTTTTTTATCTGCTATTAAAAAAATTACACTAACTCATTTGCTTCAAGTAAATATTTTTCCATCTTTTTTTTCTGCAATTTTTCTGCAACGAGGAAAAGCCCGATCTCTTCATTTCTATTTTTCCATCGTTTGCTAAATATTTATGTTCAAAATTCAAGTGAATTAAAATCAAAATACCGATTCCTTACCTTTTGTTAAATTGGAATCGGTTCATTAAATTTAAAATCAAGATTTTTAGTGTCAAGTTTCCGTCAAAATGAGTTTATCCTTTTGAAAGGCTGAAAGTTTTGGCCGAGGCTGCGTCCAGGACGAGAGAAGAGGCCAAGCGTCTAAGAAAAATGTCAATAAACGTCCTGTGGCGCGAGCAGGACGCCGAGGAAAAATGAGTTTTGTAGGCAAAATGCAAAAACGTCGACGGCTTGAATATTTTACAAATGGCTCTCAGCCAAGGCTGGCAAGAAATATACGCTTGGGCACTTCTTTCTTGCACAACTTTATTGAAAACTTCTATGGCCAATGGACATGATAGCGGTAAAATGGCCCGGCATCAGAAATTTATGGCCTTCCTCGCGAGGCTGTGAATTTTATTCGCGTCATATTTAGTTACGGAGAAGAAAGGAGTTGTTGTGGGGGGTGAACGGATGCGTGAGTAATCAAGCAACAGATCAACTTGCTGACACATTTCACGACTTGTTGTTATTATTTGACTGCGCTTGTTTATTTGTTCATTGTCAATATTACACACTGAGTGAGAGCTGCGGCGAGAGGCAATTCAGATTTGCTCTTCCCTACGCCAGACTTGGCACAAACATTGCAATGAATAAAGAGAACATCGACACAACAAAAGGCGCCAACTCGCGCACGTCCTTTGTTGAGAGCGACAGGCTAAAAAATAATAACCAAGGAGGGCCCATTAGAAAATTATATTTTGCAATCACATTGACAAAATGTTGAGGGGAAGTTCAACATCTTGAACTATAATTTCCGAATTTAATGAATTTGATAAAAACCAATTTTTAAATATTGACAGATAAAAAGAAAAAATATAATTTCAAACAGTAAATTTTCAAAAGCATTACAAATTCAAAAGTATTGAAAATAATCAAGGAAGAAATATTTGATTTTTCTTGCTCAAGTTTTCTAAGCCAATTTCGCTCAACTATTTCACAATTAGCAGGCTCTATGAAAAAAAAAATCCAAATTGTGGCAGATGAGATCATTTTGACTTTTGAAGTTTTGGAGGGAAAAAAATTACTATTCAACACTAGTAAGAGTGCCGTAATAGTTACTAAACTTCAACACTTCATTTTTTTCTAGAGTAATTTTGTAAAATAAAATTGGAAAAATGATGGACGATTAAACAACAAAATAACCGGGTTAAAATCGTGTACTCAAAATTAGAAATTGATTTGAAAAATTTTATTTTTAAAAAAAAAATATATATATTATTTAAATCGGTAAAAGTAAAAACTTCTACTTAAATATAGAAAATTGATATATTTTGTTCCGTTAACTTCTCTCCTTTTGAGTATTTTTCCCCTCGTCAGTTTTTCAAGCTCCAACGATGAATAGCAAAGTTCTTTCCAAGATGATCCATTACAGAAATCACAATCAATCAGTATGAATTTTATATCAGAAGTTTCGGCGAGTGCTCAATTATTTTAATTAATCTTCCCCGCACGAATTAATTTCCACCCCAATCACATTACTTTAACAGCCCCCCAGAAAACTAATTCTCAAGAACTTTCTTTCTGCCGACTTTGCCCGAAATCAAGCAGAATTATTAATCAATAGAATGGCTCCCCCTGAATCAGAAGAGAGAGTTGGAGAGAAAAATAAGGAAAAGGGAGATAGAGAAATTCCCCCAAATAATCTTCCCCGCTTTTTATTTGGCTCGTTTTGCTTGGCAAGGGGCCTCGGTAAGTGTTATGAGCGGTCTCTGTATATTAACGCCGCTCCTCTCATTTTTTGTCGCATTAGCGGGCCACGCGCTCGCCCCGTTGTATTTCAAACTCCTTGGAGATTCTCGCGGCCACTTTTTCCCTCTGCTTTAATTCTGGCTCCACGTTCTCTCGCCGGCTGTTTCTCTCTTATTGTGAAAACAGACCCGAACGTGACCCTGCATTTATTGCTTCGAGAGAGACAAACCGAATTTATTCAATTACAAACGAGTTCGGCCGATCCCTCGTTTTGTCGATAAATTCCCAATTTTGCTAACGGAAAGACTGCTATCGTATCTATACTTAGAAGCGGAATAAATATTAAAAAAAATGTGTTTCAGCGGAAAAGTTGTTGGTTGGTCGTAGGGTGCATAAAGTACGTACTTCAGAGTTTGGAGGGGGAGGGGGTTAGCTTGGACAATTTGAATAACGGCACGACTGACCTTTGGTCTTGACGCCGCTCGGCTCCCGAATCACAATCTCGGAGTTGTCCTCGCGCCGCCACTGCACGTGAGGCGTCGGGTAGCCGCGCGCCCGACACGTGAGCTTGACGGTGCCACCCTCGGGCACCATGACGTCGCCGGACGTGTCCTCGTTCACAATGTCCGGCGGGACGACTACATCCAAGTGGCCCATCTGTAACAGATATTTCATTTAGATTTCTTGAAAAGATTGTCGTTTTTTAGAAGAAACTATAACACACATTTGAATGCCATCCAATGTGTCTAAAAATTAGTATGAAATTTAATTGAAAATTGAATTTTATCACGTGGGGGGATATAAAATATAAAAGTTTGACCAGAATTGCAAATTACAAAAACAAAAAATTTAATAGACAAAATTAAAAATTATTTATTTAAATGAAAAAATTTATTGTAAAATTAATTTTTTTCATATGTTATACTAAACTATTAGCTATTGTTACTGTAAAGAAAGGTGGTTTACTAGCTCCGCTTGAAACACACGTCGTTTTTGTTATTTTGCAGGAGCGACCATCGCGATGATTGCCCGCGGTAATTTGGTCTGCATTTTAGCTCTGGCTTTGTACCTTTGCTGCGCGTGCGATTAGCCCGCATTTCGGATTCAGGCCACATCGCGCCGGGTGTGCGCTTTTCCTCTGTCCGTCCGTTTGTGCCGGTTTGGGCTCAACAAGCAAATCGAGCGCGCGCGGTTTGTCTCCCCGTTCGTTGGGTGTGCAAATAGCTCACCAAATAGACGGTTTGCTTTACCCTCAGTCCGCCAAAATCGACAACAAGCAAACACACGCGGGTATAATTTCGCTTGAGCGTGATAATTTTAATGGAAAGGTAAACAGGATGAAAATTGGTAAAAGTAATAATTTCAGCTAAATTTTCATTCTCAATGGAGAATGCATCTAAAATTTTTTCCTCATAAATTATTAAATTAACTCAATTTTCAGCTAATATTTTAAGCTACAACTCATAAATTTCAGAAATATTAGAAGAAGGTCGCATCTTCTTTGAAACTGCTCCCTGAGGAGGAGACACAAATTTAATAACTACTGTATTCCTCTTACACGACGAAAAATATTTTTTTACATTTCTTAAGAAGCTTTTAGAATGATTAATGAAACACATATCACACTGTAAAAACTTCTAATGAATATTATTTCATTCTCGCTTTATTCAAAATAAAGATACATTATTTGGAATTGATCTATGTAGTGAAGTAGGTTAGGTTTAAATTAAGCTTAAATTTTTCTTCCAAATAAAATGACTTATAAAATTAATATAAAAAAGTTATAATTGCACTCCAGCCATTTATTTCTGTGCACTGAACTTATTTGATGGTATTTTAAAATTGACATTTAATTATAATTAAAAATTAAAATACAAATTTTTATTAACTTGAAATTTAAATAAACTTAATTAATTAGTTTTTACGTTTCCATTGTTTTGAATCTGAAAACATGATAGGCATCAAGTATTTGCATCATTACATATATGTATCCTTATAGGTTCATTCACCCCTTCTCGAGCTGTGTAATAAGCGTGATTCGTTCCACTGATGGAATTTTCATCATTATACAGAGCACAGCTTGAATCGGTCCTAGACTGCATACACTTGTATGCAACATGTTTTTTACAGCAGGTAATATGATATGAGACTATGAGTATGGATGCGTTTGCCAATTAAAGCGTCGAACGCAGCGAGATTTGCCGCAAATGCAATAATAAGGCTGCAATTTCTGGAGCAGCGAGCGAGCTCATCATTACTTTGAGTGGTTTCCAGCAAACATGCAGCCAAATGATTTCGAGTTAAACAGACACAATGATCATGTGTGTACGTATATGTGTGGATACGCAAATAAATTTTCCACTCTCGGCCCCGTGTAATCGATTTGCATGCTTGTGCACACAGCCAGGGAACTGGAATATGAAATTACGTTCATTTGATCGGGCTTGCTTTTGTCAAATTGCATTTCCATAATTTTGTATATTTTGAAGCGGTACAAGTTAATTTTCAGAAAGGCTTGAGCGTAATTGTTGCAAACGTTTGTAATCCAAAGATTATAATGGTGCATGCATTTGCAATAATTTCTGAGTAAATTAATTAGTTTAGACAAAGTTCTATAACCACTACGTACCTTAGAAAGACAATTAGATTGGCATTTTATATATGCAAATATTACAAAGAAGAAATATAACGGTGTATGGTATTATTTCCTGAAATTTGAAATGTTACCAAAAATTTTGAATCCTTATTATTCTGATGCATATTTAGTGCAGCTGTACATTTTATGTGTGATTTAATCAAAAAATTGAGAGCAAATAAATAGAAGGGCATAATTATATTATTTTTTTTACAGAGCATATTTTCTTTTAGATAAGAATAAGAAGAAAGCTTTTGCACACAGTTAAACATCATTAAAAATTACAACATTTTCTTATTATCAGTGCTTCATAACAATCCGCTCTTCCTCAGGAATTTTAAATATACAAAAAAAAGCCAACGTTTTCTGCTAATAAAATAAGTCTTAAGCTGCGAGTTTTCAAGTTGTTTGCCAGAGAAAAGTCTATTCATTAATCACCCTAATTAATGCTTAGTTTATTCTGTATGCCAAGCACTTTTACAAGATTATTTAGCTGAAAAGTAAATTGATTTTTTTTATTCATGGCAAGCAGAATATATCTAAAATAATAAATTGTGCGGCAGGATTCATTTACCCACACAGATCAATTTGAAAAAGAGCAATAATAGAAGAGTGTTGTTCCTTTTTTTTTAATAAAATAAAAAACTTTTATCGTAACTAGAAAACCAGAAAGTTGCTCGCTCCCATATATGGTCTGAAAAAAAGAAATATTCTCTTTACAAATAGAATCTTCTCTTTCACTCTGCAGCGTCAATTCATTTAAAAAGCTCTTGTTGTTGTCCCGCTCCCTGGCGGGTCTTTCGCCGCCGAGTGTGGCATCCAAACAATGCCGTGTGTATTGCTTGCAGTGCAGTACGTCCATTATTGTATGGTGAGCTTTCAACGTAATTACAAAAATAACCGGCAAACAACTGCCGAGGGCAAAGAGAGCAAGCCTCTTGCTTAGTTAGTTCTTTCCGGTGCGAATCGCTTGTGCTTTTCTCACGTCTAATTTGGGCACTTGGGGCCACGCCGGCCGATCCCACGCTACTCTGCGGCCAATTAGACGTGGCGCGAAAAACACAGGGAACCCAGCAGGTGATTGCAGTTTGAATAATATACACAGAAGAGCGAGGAGAAGTGGAAAAGAGAAAAGGGTCGCACACTGAAATCCTCGCCGGAGATAAAGAGATAGCAAATCCCATCAGCACGCGGACGAGACGCAGCCAGCGGAGAAGAAAAACTGTGGCTCTAAACGAAGTCATACACACTGAATGAAAAATCAATGCGTGGCCTAACCAGCCTGCAGAATTCAAACTTCCACACGCGGTGCATTTCGTCGAGATAAACCAGCTCGGCGCGTGTGTTTCCCTTTCTTATTTTGTCGACGGCGGATATCTCACTTCTGTCGGAGCGAGTGCCTTTCGCCAGAGTTTACAGCTTCCTCGGCTCCTTCCTTATTCTCATTGTTCGCAAGACCGACCGACCGTCTGCTCCGCCGATATATTTTTCGCACGGATAATCTTACGCATCACTGCGACTTTATCATCCTAAAACGGGACGGCCCGTGTCATTTGTTAAACGGATACGAGAAGTCGACCGGTTGCGTTGGAAAAAAATGACAAATTTATTGAGTGACCAAAGTTATGATTACGACTCGCAAGAAAACTCTTTTGCATTTATCAATTCAAACGTGATTTTCAAATAGAAACTTTTGAAATAATATTTCTTAAAATTCGCCAAATAAAAATTTATGCAAAACAAATAAATCATCACATGGACGCAAAAAAGGATGCAATATTTTGATCTTATAATAATAAGAAAATACTTAGATCATATTTCCGTCCACCATTTGCTAAGCGTTTTAGAAAAATGCAGTTTATTTTACATTAAACAAGTAAAAATAAAAAGCTATTTTATTCATATGTTCCTATCTTTCTAGCTCTCATTTCTCATTATTCACAAGTTATTTATCGATTCAATTCTCTGCCTAATTTTTACAAAGATGTGAATGATGAGGGCCAAACCAAGTAATATTAACATAAATTACGAAATAATGTTAAGATGTGATTGTGCAGCATATTTATAAATATTTGTATGTTGACTGATAAAAACTATTTATAATAAAAATGCGAAAACAAATTACAGTAGCATAACCTTTAATAAAAAAAATTAAATCTTTAAAATACTTTAAACATTTAAGCATAATAAGTGTTCAGTAAAGAATTGTTAAATATTTTTGTTGTAATTGTAGCTAAAAGTTATCACAAGTAGTTAAATAAACAAACAGCAGAAAGTTACGTAATAAATAACAATATAACCGGAATAGATTTGCATGCGTGGTTGTATAAAAATTGCATTCATGAATAACTTATCTGACCATAAAATACGGCTGTCCACGCGTAGGTCTGCGTCTGCAGCGAGGCTAATTCGGCCGCGCGCACCTCGCCGCTAATCCGCTCATTCCAGGTCGCAGTTTTTGCATATGCGGTGTCAATTTTTAGCACCCCCCTGAGCGGTTGTAAAATATACACAGGGCTCATTTGCATTTGGCCGTTTGTCCGCGGCAATAAATTGGAGCTTTGCCGGCGGTCGGCGGCGGCTCCCTCCAATTAGATCCCAATTAGGCCGGATTAGGCGCAGGTGCTTCTTTTGATCGGCGCCATTTGTCAAATTCGAGGCGACACAAACGGCACGTGTGTCGTTTTTTCTGGTGATTTGCGGGCAGCACGTGATCGGCATCCTTTCTCTTCCAAGTGGGTGCGTGTTTTTCTCGGCTGACGTGTCGGTTAATGACTGCTAATCGCACTCCAAGTGGAATTAGCGCGGCTCAAATTCTGCCTGTTGCTGGCGTGCAGCTGTCAGTTCGCACCAGCACTTACTTAATGAATTAACCGGCCCAACTTCTTACGATATTATTTCGCCCACCGACTTTCTCTCTCACATATATACACTTCCTCTTTCTTTTTTCTCCTCCACTTTTTTTTATTAAATCCGCCTGCCGAGCAGTTTGAGTGGTGATCTGAGCAGTTTTTACAGCGCGATTTATTATTGGATCAGGAAAATGCGCAGGCCGGCAGAGCAGGGACGGACTGCATGGCGCTCTTTCTCACTTCCAGTTAGGCGAGCGAGTCAGCACCGCGGGGTTTAGTGCAAATTGAATCCGCTGATTTAATAACCGAGTCTGCAAACCAGCATGCAGAGCGGCCAACGACTATGCACTCTTTCAATCTGCCTTTGTGAAATTTTATGCCGAGCGCGGATTATTAATGACTGGATCGTGCACGAGCACTCGCTCATCCACCGTGTGCGCTCTCACTTCGGAAAGCTGAATCAAGACGAGAGGTTGTTCAGCAAAAAGCTTTCAAATATCCTTTAGAACATTATTAAATTCAATCCATTGAAGGTGAATTTAATTTAAAAATCACTTCTATATAAAATTTTTCACAATGACTATGAACGTAACAAAATTCAGTTAGTTGATTGCATGCAAATAAAAAAATAAGAATGTCATTTATTTGGTGCCCCATTATTAATATCATCATCATAACATAGTAGGGTTTCTCCAGAATCAGATTATTCCAACCAACATTAATTAAATAATTTATGACTGTTCAGGATAGGTTATATTTTTTTTTGTATGAGCATTAATTCTGAAGTTACAATTCGTGTAGAGTGATATAATCATGAAATTCTCTAATAAAATTCACATTTTTAATGTTTAATGCGGTTTAATGCAATTAAAGTATGTATTGATTAACATAAAATGAATCTTGGAACAAAAAACAGGGCCTCAATGGCCTTCCTACATCATTTAAACTTGTTGAAATTGTTATGTAGACAATTTTTTGTACAACAATCTAGTTAATTTGTAATTTTAATGTTTATTAAACATGATTAATTTTAATGTATAAAAATTTAACTCAGAAAAAGTTTCTTATAAAATTTTTAAATCAATTAATTAAATTAAATGTTCTGTTAAAAATTCTTTAAAATATATAAATAATTATAAAAATATTTTGTTTTTAATGAATTTCATGAATATGTAAACAGTATAAATAATTTTAAAAAATCTGTCACTTCCATCATTGATTTACTAGGAGTCCATGTACTTAAAGTTTTGAGTTTGATCTGTTAAAAAAGGCATCAATTTTTTCTTTAAGAAAGCAGTCCGTTCCTCTATAATCCAAACTCTGTCTTGGCAAACTTTGGCCTGCTTCGGCTTTGTATAATATTGTGGCGGTCGCTGCAGATTATAATATTGGTAATTGCGGATTGTTGTTTGCAGATCAATAACGGGAGAGAGAGAGAGAGAGAGGAGCCTTCACTGAGGTCTCCCTCCCGCGCCGGCTCTTATTAAATCATCTGCATGAAGAGCACTTGCAGAGTTTGTGGAAAAACCAATGCCGTATCTAGAGATAGAGTGAAGCGCAATATTCATGGAGGCTGAGAGGCATCGATGGCCACGGCCCGTCGAGAATATTATCATAATTATTATCATTCAAACGGCCCGGTGCAGCAGCAGTTCTTCGGATCAATTGGAAATGTGCATTTTATTATGGCCTCCTTGTGTTTGTGGTGATATTTATGTGTGGTGGCGTAATAAATATAGAGGCGTCCCGACGGCATGCATGCATAATAAATGCAAAAAGCAGCAGGTATAATGTCGGCCCACAGGTAATAAAAGAGCGCATTATGCATTGTGTGCCCCCGCCAGACTGATTGACTCGCGCGCAGCCCCGACGGATTTGAGTGCCGTCACGAGATCGACGACATTTTTTTCTCAGCTTTTCATGCGCACAAACTAGGTTAATTCTCTGCTCACGAGAGGGATGACGCATTAAGTAAATCCGTTATGATCAAGATGAAGACTTCAAATTGGCTTTTCATCAATGGTTTTTTTCGATGAGTCTTTTTAGAAATGGGAAGGTTATAATTTACTTTTTTTTCAATTCATGTGACGCTCTAGTGAGAAATTGATTTACAATTTTGCATCTTATTATTGAATTTTATAATGAATTTTATAATTTGTCCTTTAAATAAGAGATGTTTCAAAATTATTGTTAAAAAGCTAAAATGTCATGAAGCGAGAAACTGTTGATTTTGGCCATTTTTGTAATGTGTGATTTCTGAAAGTCCCAATGAAAATGTCCTAGGTAAATTTTTTATCTTGAAGGTTTTTAAACATGTAACATTTGTCTTTTTTTTAGAATACCACCTGTTTGAAATGCTTCACTTTAATAAAGAAGGTGAATTTTGTTAGTTTTTTAGACGAGCACTGGCTAGATTTTTTCATTTTAGTTTGACTGACCTAGTTAAAGTCGTTCAAGACAAAATGTATCAACATCTTGATACTTTTCGTATTTGGAGAGATCAGGAAAACACACATTATTTTCCATCTTGAATTAAAAAAAAAAAAAAAAAAAAAAAAAAAAAAAAAATCAAAATTTCTTCGAATTTGTTGATTTAGTCAGAATTTTTCCTCGTAAAACATGAGAACGCAATATAAACTTATAATATTAGCAATTTCACAAGCATAAATTGTTTGTTTGTTTTTTTATTGAAAGTCAATGTTTTTAGTTTCTACTGTAAATCACCAGTAAATCAACAAATATACTTAAAAACTTCAATTTTTCAATAGACGATTTCAAATTCGTTCACTGAAAATAAACTAACTCATATCATAGAAATGAAAATCAATTGGCCTGTCGAAATGAAATAAAAATGTTTCGACCAAAATAAACATATCAATTTTCATCATATTTTTAATTAAATTTCTTTAATTCTATAAAAAAAAATTGGATAAAAAATTGACACTAACCTGGCTCTGCATGGGGTCAGTGTTGATCTGGCACATGTAGCTGCCGCGGTCCTCCTCCTGGACACCTCTGATGTGGAGGTTCCAGGTGCTGTAGTCGTTGTGCGACACGGCCACTCGCGGGTTGTGCGTGATGACGTGGTCGTGGATGGCCTGGATGGCCTTCGTGTCCGCCTTCACCCAGCCCACCTGCAACAATGCCCACTTGATGAGTCGCGCATCGATCCCAATAATGACAACGAAGAGAATGAAAAAAAATGCGGTGATGGTCGGGGACGCAGCGATGATGGGGCGAATTACTAATCGACAAAGAGCCAGAGAGGTGTACTGTCCGACTCTCAATCAACCAGATATCGATTCTCAATTTTTAACTCGCGCTGACACCGACGAAATTACACTGACTCGCGTTCGGTCCAACCCTCTCCATCATGTTTTGCAGTGACGCGAGAGGACGTCGAAGAGACGAGTTTGCGAAATTCGGGTGGACACGCACCACTGCATCAACAGAATGAAATTTTAATTTTGATTTGCGGCCCGCAAAAATGGGTGCGATCGGAAATTGATTTCATGAAAGCTACGTGAAATTGAAATTGAAATAAAATAGTACGTTGAGTATTTCTAACTGTTTTGAATGATTTATTTTGTTTAGTCTTTTATTCAGCATGAAAAAATTTAAGTAGTATTAGGCTTGGGGAAAAAGAAAGAATAAAGTGAATAGCAAGTAAAATCGGATACGAAAAAGTGTTGAATTCTTGTTATTCAAATTGTTTAAAAACTTTAAATTTGAATAAAAACAATTGTGAGGAGGAAATGCTTCAATTTTCGTTGGACAAAACCACGAAATGTAAAGATTTTGCATCTGCCTTCAGTGTATTTAAAATGAATTAATAAAATTTTAGTTCCAATTTTTTTTTTAGTAAGAATTTTCTATTCTTGATTTATTTTCTCATACAATACACATAAATTTTCCGAGCTTCCGAGTTCATATTTGTTGATCTGATCATTTTTTAAAATGACGATTTTGCAATTTTACAAAAAGTATCCCATAAATCTGTACAAAAATAATTAAAAATAAAAAATACTGGAAAATATATATTAAAAAAAAAAAATCCTGAAAAAAAACGTTTTTCAATGTCTTGTTTGTGTTTTTTTAATATTGTAAATTCTAGAAGATTTCTCTGCTTTTTTTATTTTTCTTATCAGTTTCCCATTTAGTATAAAAATTTTGTGTCCTGCTTTGATAAAATAAGCATATTATATTCATGAAAAAATTCAATTCTAATGGAGAATAAATAGATCTAGTATTTAATATTTGTAAATAAGCAAATATCCCTTTCTCTTTACGATTTAAATTTGTTTTTGCGTTCAACATATATTATTAAATAAAATATTTTCATATTGTCTGTTTCTCTTGTATATTTGAAGAAAGCGTACAGAAATTTGAGTTTAATTAAATGAACCAGTTTGAAAATAAGAAGAGTTTCCACGAAGTGGATGAAACAGGCCAAAGCCAATATTTGTCCTTGCTAGGATTAACCGAGGATAATGGCCAGAAAAGCCCATACAAAAATTAAAAATAAACAACTGGCCAGACGGTCGTCGTAAATTTATTTTTTTTCCGTGTGTGCAGAGGAAAAACAGGCGAAAAACTCGGGCAAAGCATTATTGCGTGTGTGCGGTATGCGACGTGATTGCCGGAAAAGTGAGAGACGGTCCGCCCGAGTCTATTATTGGAGAAGCCAGTGGGTGCAGTGCAGACATGACAAACGACTGCAAACTTGGATCATTTATTACACACAGCTGTTGGCACACGGCGGGCGGGCGAGGAGATTTTCCAGTGCAGCGTCAGCCAGAATTAGTCGTGGAAAGAACAGCAGTCTGTGTGTGTTTCGCCTTTTTTTCTCTCTCTTTCTCTGCCTTTCGCGTGTCGCCGGTTGCATACCTAAGCAAGTGGTGAGCAAACTCAATCAGGGCCGGTGGCGGAAAAATTAGGCAGGCTGTTCCCAGGGCGGAAGGGTTGAATTATTTAGGCGGCGTTAAACATTTAGCGGCGGCATTGCCTCTTGGCTTCCGACGACGGTCGAGCCGCGGCTGCCGCTTTTGCTCCTCCACGCTGAATTTAAAATCGAGTTTCCATCCCTGCAGCCGGAAATTAGGACTTGGGGTGTGGAATGACGGTGCATTAGCAGAGTGCGGTTTCCGGCCACAACATTTTGTACGCACTTTTGTAAAGGAGTGAAAAAATTATCAGATCTCAGAAAAGCTGTATTTTACAGATTAAACATTCAGCTTTAATTTATAACGCAGTTATTTTTAATTCTCTATACTATAATTTACTATTTCTTGCGGACAAAATTGAGGGCTTAAACACTAGATTTATTATGTTTATATTGTTCATTAATCCAATACAATGACTTAAGTCCGAATTTCATTTTATCCATGCATTTTGTTGTCAATTAATTTTTTCTAAAGCACAAAAGAAAATCACCAAAAACAATGATAAATTTATCTCAAAAGGCTTGTATGAGTTGCGGTTTCTTGTGAAATTTTAAATTAATAATTACGTATGATCTGCGTATGATCAAATTTGAGATCCCCTTTAAGCCAAGATAATTGCTAATTGGCTGAACGTTTGGTAATATTGTGAACTGTATAAATATAAAATATTGCAATGTCTATTGCTCACTCGATCAATACAATTTTCATAAATAAACATAGAAAATGCAAAGTTTAAGTCATCCACTATCTTGAAATTTAACATTGATTCTATTTACTTTTAGAATACAATTGTAATTTTAATAATAATTTTTTTTAAATAAATTCAAAACAGATTTAAAAATATTTTTTAATCAGTTGCCGATAAAAGGAAAAGATAAAATTAATTGAAATAAATTAATAAATTTAAAATGAAATATTTTTTTATTACGTTTTGGGTGAAAAATATAGTAAAAAAATTTATAACAATTTTTTTGAACTTTTCCCTTACATATAGCAAATAATTAAATCACTTTTTTAATTATTAGTCATAAACAGATATGCAATTTATACTTATTTCAATAATTCGGAAGATAATGCAGTGCTTACAAAAACGTAAAAAATGTTATAAATATTTTTAGTTGCATTGCAAAAGCAAACGCGTTTCTCTTTATACGATTCAGTCAAGAGCGCAAACTAATGAGCATAATGAAGGCCCCTGACGATCGCCGATAAGAAATCACGTGATGGAAAAATGGGGCCCAATTTTCATTATCGCAGGTGAGCACCCTTGGCTGCTTTTTCCACTTTTCACCTCTCGCACGTCGGGGGATGCAATTAGCGCTAATTAAATCAGGGACGGCTGACGAGTTTGCCAACAGCGGCCGGTCGGTCGAGGTGTTTGATTATCTTGATTGCGGCGTCGGGGGTGCTAGGCCTGATGGATGGATATAGATGAGTGCTCAGCCGGTTTTGCACCAACAAACGAACGAGGAGCAAACGAGTGCGTGCCTGCATGTTGTTGTTTGCTCGCACAGGTGCCATTCATAAGTAAAAACGCGTCGCCCCCATTACCATATGGGACTGTCATTGTCAAAAGGCACTTTGTACCGGATCACGTCGCCTCTTAGCGTTTTCAAATCACGTTTGCAATAGAGCGCGCGCGGCGAAGGGACGGAGAGCGAAAATATGAGAGACAAACTGAACGCCGCGTGCTTTTATTAAAATTTCAACCCTTCGCGTGCGACGAGGGACGCTTCGAGTTTTGTCAGCTTGCTTGCTTGCGATTTGGCCACACACACACGTCTAATATTATTTGCATTTTATGCCCAGCGTGATGCATTTCGCAGCTGCCGATGGACCGCCGTCGTAAAGTTTGTCGCCACATACTCGACGGCTGTTTGCGCAAGACGTGCAATTTTCATCCAGATTCCGTCCGTGGTTTGGAGCCAGAATTGACGCTGCTGCTGCTCAAAAGTTTATTTGCTAAACCGGGAAAATTAAATTTAAAAATTATTTTATTGTGATAAAATTATAAAAATACAAAAATTGTTTTGTTTCAAGAGTTTTTAATTGCAAGGAAATTTTTCATAAGATCGATCAAAGTTTAAATTTGCGCCTTATAATTTGATCAATAATAATAATGGATTTGAACTAATTCATTATATCTCTCTAGTGGTAAATTTGAATATAAACCATGGGTTATAGTTAACTGAAGCTCGGCAGCGGATGTGGTCTTTTTGATCTCGGAAATTTTAGCACAATCTTTGCTACCAGTTCAACAATTTAATGTTTAATGTAAAATGAACGTGACATAGATAAATAATAATAATAATCGTGGCCCAGATTAGAATTTGATTTTAAAAACTCATTGTTGTATGGTGAAATTCGACTTGATTAAATAGATTTTTTAAATAATACTAATGTTAATACCGTGTGTCTTAAATTCACAATATGAAATATTTTTTGCATGAAGATTAATGATTAAAATTTAATAACAATTTTATTTTAAAATAAAATAAGAATTAATAATTTAAATTGCTTTTAATGCTCCAAAATAAATTTTTAACTTTATTAATATTACAGCAAAATTTTTAAAATCATAAAATTTTTTTAAAAGATTTCCTTCAAAGTTGAAAGTTGGCGCAAGATCGTAGAACTCAAGTATAAACCAAAATGAATCGGAGGTCCATAAAAGTGAACGCGCGTTCGGGCCGGCACGTGAGAGCATTTTTGGCGAAATTTGCGTGGGGGGCCCGAAGCACCTTGCTTGCCGCCGGTAATCACTGTCAATGGGGGTGGGTGGTTTTCTGGGAGCACCCCTCCGTCGTCGACTAGGGTGGAATCGCACTAGCTAGCACAAAGAGCAGCAGGTGCAGATTATAGATGATGAGGAAATAGTGCCTTTGTGCTAATGACGTTCCATTCTCTGGCAAGATAATCCCCGCTCTCGGTGTTGCACCATTATTTGACCAGAGCCTTTTAATGTCGGTCCGTGAATGCCGCCACACGTATTTCGCCACGATTATTGTTTCAATTTCATTATTCACGGACGTGTGGCGAAATCCTAATCAGACTGCAGTTGTTTTGCGTGTCACCCTTTTATTCGCTGGGATTTTTGCCAGCGCCGGCATTTCGAGCATTTAAACCGCTCTCTCTCTCGGTCCAGTTTTACTGTTATGGAGGTGAGTTGAAAGTGGATTAGCCGCAGATTGCGAGGCGGCCGAATGTGCTGAAAGGCTAATTTTCTGCGGACGACCCGACGACAAAAAAATCCGTAGGCGCGGTCGTTGGGGATGAGCTGGGAAATTGCGTCGAGAGATTTCGCAACCAAAAAAGGGATGAACTTCTATTCGAAAAATCTACTATGCCAGGGGATTGAACGAACGAAAAAGAAATCCTCTGCATTTTTAACAAGCGAGCCAATCTCCGAGCAATTGATCTATTTTGGGCTGATAAATTTGATTAAAAAATTCTAAGATTATCGATAAAAGGATGAAGTAGCTAGCCGCAGATGAAAATTGGATGCTAATATTTCAATTAAATTTTTGTTTAGAGATCATTAAAAGATGTTTCAGTGTTAGACGAAAAATGAAGATATAAGAAATTTGACAGTTCATAATAATTATTAATTATGAGAAGATATGTTAAATTTCAATGCTACCAGCAAAAATAATCAGAAATTTACTAATGCTTCTTTTATTTTTAATCAAGTAACACCAAAAAAGCTTTAATCCAGAAGGAAGATAGCATTAAAAGTGGACAAATTTACTTTTGTAAATAAATTTTTCTATGGGATGCAGTAAATATTTATTTTGTATTTTATTTAAGTTTTTAGCGGTTTTTAGATGAGTTTCTATGAGGAATTGATATTCTTAAAAAGAATTTTCGCGAAATGTTTTAATTAGTTTAGCAGATTGCAGATCAATATATGCATAATTATAGTGGTCCTCTTAATGAATTCTTGTTAAAAATTGAATTGAGAAAAATGGTATCTGCAGTTAGCAAAAGATAATTCAGATATTTTGAAAGTTTGGTCTTCAAAATAACATGATTATATTTTATATCTCAACTTCTATTGCAAGTCAAATTGAAAAAATTAAAAATTTATGCATTGATGGTAAAAAAGAAACCATGAGACTGGAAATTACTAAGTAAGTGAAGGCAAATTCTGCGATTTGATCTAGCAATAAAGATTTCCTGAACCGAGCAATACAAAAGTCAATACATTATTAAATTCTTGAATTTTAAATGATTAGAATCAGACAATAATTGATAAAAAAAATTAATATCTGAAACATTCCAAGTATGTAGCGGAGAAAAATTTGTAGTTGGCTCGTTGGCTGACAACGAAAACTGGAGAGAACTTTACTATTTTTAAAATATAATACTATTATCTCATTATTCGAACTCACCCGATACCCTCCGAGGTGGCGGACGACGCATGTGAACGTCGCGTCCCTGCCGAGGGGCACCGTCAAGTTGAGGATGGGCTCGGCAAACTCGGGCTGGAAGGCAACACCTGTGAACAAATGAGAAAAACAGCGCGTCAGTCTCCAGCAGTAATTAACGGCTTAATTTAGGGATGCTCTCTCTTTTCAAGGCACGCGAGAGTGAGCTCGGAGATTAATTTCAGCAATCGGAGCGTGAGAATTCCGCCAGAATAAAAGGCGATTTGGGGCGGTGCGCGGCAACTTTTTTCATAAAAGAGAGGATGGTAATATGATAAAACGCAGGCCGTGTGTCACAGTGAAGTTTGAAAATTGAAAAGTTTTTATCCTCTCGGCGCCGAGCCGAGAGCGAAAAAAGTGTCAAAGGAAGGCGCACGCCGAGAATATTCAAAAGATTAAAACAGAGGTGACACAATTGAGTTGCCTCGTCTCGTAATCTTTCTCAGCTTTTTCAATCCTATAGCTGCGACCCGGCTCAGCAGCACTTTTTCCACAGACTTTGGCTGCACCCGGCCGGCAAAGATTTTGGCTGTCAATCAGCGCAGGAGCTAAGCTGGCAAACGAGATTAATATGCCCCGGCGGCAGTTATTCTTGAGTCATTTGGCTGGCAAACAGCTCCTGTGTGCCTTTTGGCCGACGCTGTCTGGCCGCCTTCCAAGCCCACACGTATTTAACTGAAAGAACGAACACAAATCTCGAATAAGTCACCGAGTTAAACTGCGCTGAATTATTTTACGGCCAGGATTATTTAATAAAGAGAAAGGCGGGCGAATAATTCATCCTCATTTGCGTCGCAGCCTGGCCAAGAAAGAGACGCGCGCGCTGCCAAGGTTTGCGCTTCGCTGCAAGTGAGAGATGCAAAAAATTAATCCCGATTGGGTTGGAAAATTTTATTTGCAAGATCTTTTACGGTCGTCCTTGGTGTGTGTGTGTACATGCTGGGAATTGTCGGTCTCGCTCTGTCGGTTTGGATTTTACAACCCAGCAAATTAAAGTTGACGGACTCGTATGAAATGAGATGTCAAATCGTGCCGATAAAAACGACTTCATTTCTTGACTGGATTAGTCGCTTGTGTCACTCCGTCTCTATTTCTCAGAATTCTGCTTTGAATTCTGATGAAAAGGAGGAGAAAATTTACCAGAGAGAGGATAAGATTCCACTTATAGAAAAATTAAGTTACCTCCAAAGTTCACCAAACAACAACAATTTTATAACGTATTAAGAATGGTGTCTAATTTCCTTTTAAAATGCAATAAATCATATTAAATGTAAGTAATTGAAGCAAATTAGCAAAGCTAAATTTTAATTTAAAAATTTTCATTTATAATTTCTTTTCCAACATTTAAACCTTGACCAATATTCCACACATAGATTCCTGAAATCAAATTATAGATTCTTTTAGAATAATGAGGGATATTTACAAGCTACGTTGGCTTATATGAATTACAGGAACTAACTTATCACGTGAATATCCCTCAATGTTTTGTATACATTTTGGGACGAACCCAAAAATTTTGAGCTAATATTATGTCATTGTTTTGAACGCGGAAGTTTGCAACCCGCAAAATTGCAAACGCTTCAATTATTGAGCTTTGGTTTGCACGTCGCGGTCATTATTTAAACGGAGCGGATTAAGTCACGAGCGGGACGGCAGGTGGTCCGCAATAACGGCAAAACCGCGCGCACACTCTGCTGCTGAACCGGCGGAACACGGTGCAGAATCGTAAGAAACGGATAATGCACGTCTGCAGTCTTTTAATAACAGTGAGGCCTGCAACGAACATTCGAGAAGAATGAGATTCTAAATTGTTACAATGCAGCATCAGTGAAAAAAAAATGTAGAATCAAGTGTAAAATTAATTTACTTTTAAGACCATTTATTAAATTTCTTCTACATAAAATGGCCAAAAAAATTATATTTAAATCTTTATTGATGTATTATAATATTTTTTAATTTTTGCAAATTAAATTTTTATTTTATATGTATCCATAACACATAAAAATGTAAAGATTTTTCACTGATAAATAAATGTTTATTATAACCTAGGTTTATGGCTGGTCTTTACTACAAATGAAAATTATTTTGCGGCTTAACAAAGTTAAGTCGTTAATATGAATGGTTTGACTCAAGCTATAAATTATATATTTACATAAATAAAAACTACAACAGACGTGAAAAAACAGTCTATTCACGGAAATTCAACGTGAAATTGCAATACGTATTTCCATAGCACAGGATGCTGCAAGTGCGAATCGCCTCAGGGCGTCTTCCTTTCGCTGCCGCAATCACGACCAGGGCAAATATTGGACTCGAGCTGACCCATTCAGCGCACCCCTGCCTTTCAGTAATTTCAGTGCGCGAGCGATTTGTGCTGGAAAAACATGAATGAATGATTAATGCAGGCTGCGTTTGCATTTTGCATGATGAAGTGGCTCCAACTGTCCTTCCCTTTGCGTTGTTTCTCATTCAAATTTGATCATTTTTAACTGCCAGCCAGATGACAACGCCGAGACAGCCAAGTGATTTGATTCTCTTGACAAACAACAAACACATTACCCATTAATAACACCGAGCGAGGGAATAAATTTATAAATGAATGAGAAAATAGCTTGAAAGAATGAAAAAAAAAAAAGAAATTACAAAAAAATCTTTACTGGTATATTTTTCAGGAATAATTAAGCGTTTCTCTAGATTTACAGTAATATAGAATAATTTCAATATATACATTGATCCTTCAATCATTTTCCCTATTTTTATGTTTCGTGTTTAAGATATTAAGAAATTATGTTGTATAAAATAAATTTCCACATGAACTTACTTCAAGATACCTAATTTCTACCTCCATGTTGTGGGACAAGAAGATTTTTAATTTTGATTTAAAATATATACCGTATTTATACAAATAATATAATTAATTTTTATATTGAAAGAATTAAGAGGCCAAATAAAATTATATCTATTTAATGTTGATTTTTCTCATGGATTCAAAGTAAAGTGATTTATTCTAATTTGATAATTCATGTGGACGCACAATATTCTCCAAGACTAATCACATTAATGCACGACCTCATAAACATCTACTTTTTCCTCTATAATCTTTTCTAGGGAGAAACCCTCTCGGTCAAATAAAATTCAATTACGGTCGCATTTGGATGGCAAATAGCAGCAGCAGGGAAAGATGCGATGCATCAAGTTAGATATTATTCGCTGGCTCGCCGCCACCAAAGGCTGTGCCAATATTGATATGGCTCGATCGGAGCAGCATAAGGCTGCTTTCGCTCCATTCATTCCTTTGGAAAAGGAGACACCACAACAGATGAGGAAAACAAGCCGCCGCGCCAACAATGGGCTCATCTTTTCTCCTCAGTCTTGATCAGAAATCACTCATTTTTAATTGCGGCGCCATTTTTTGCTGGGGCTGCTTTTTCGCAGAAAATCAAGCCTGTCTCATTAACAAAATGAACTGGCAGCGATTGTGCATTGTGTGAACGAAAGAATGGGCAAGGCGAAGAGGAGAGCCAGCTGGAGGTATTACAATGAGAGGAGGATTTTCTTTCTTGTGCGTGCAGTGTCTTCACAAAAAGCTCTAAAGTGAACATTTTCAATCCATTGTCTGCCTGCCATTTCTCGTTGCAGAGCCCAAAATTAACTCTCAATCGGTGAATCCACTCAATAAATTTTACAAAAATCGATTCATTTACAATTTTATTTCATGCTTTTCTGACTTTATAAGTTTTGCTAGATTAAAATAATATGAAATTTTCCCCTTTTATATATATGCATGTCATAAACACCAAGAGCTTTTAGAAAAAAAATTTATTAAATTCAAAATTTTATTTTTATAACACAATTTTTATGAAGTACATATTCGAGTATTTTGATTTATTTTTGCAAAATGAGGAAAAATTGCTATGCAAAAGGCCCCAAGGGATCTGCTTAAGTCTGGCCTATAGTTTTTCGTGAATCTCTCCTAAAGTGTATGATAATTATTATTTGTTGTTTATACGTAAAAAAAAGTGTAAAGAATCATTGCAGATTTTTCGAAGAATTAAAAAAAAGCAGATAAAACCATTCTTTGCTAACTTTTTGTTTCATATTTCATTGCTTTAAAGTACTTGATTTAATTTAAACGATTCAATTTCTACAAACAAATTGGGCAAATTGAATTGACCATAAATTACACAGGTTGATGAATTTTACTTGAGGGGTTATTGCAATTTTGGCATCAAGATTGAGCTAACCGAGCGTTTAATGGTCTTGTTCAGACTTTTTATGCGTCTCGGAGAAAACGTTTCGGCAAACCAACAACCCGGAAGGAGCGATTAATCTGGCTAAAAGTGCATGGGACGAAGCAACGGTCGTGTGTGTTTTACGAGCGTCTAAGCCGAGCGGCGACGCACCCCTTCTGCTCCATACATGCAATCTGCGAAAACTGCGTTTTTGCGAGCGGAAAGCAGCAAACAAAAATTCCTCAACTGTGTTGGAGCAGTTTCAGCGGCCAATCCATCAAGATCACCATGCACGCGCGCAGCTAGGCAGACAAAAAGCATCGCATTTGCAAATAGCGAGAAAGAAGCGTCGCGGCGACGGCGATATCCATCTGCTGGGTGGTAAGTGCATTTCTTTATTGCGCCCGAGAGCCGGGCTGTTTATCTCGAACAAAGGCTTTGTTATGGTAGTGACGCCAGCCAGCTCGCAATCCACTGGCTAATGCTCGCGTCCATTGGAGAAATGGTGACGAACTCGCCAGTGCCCCTCTTATCGCGGTCTGCAATCATATCTTTGAAGTGTCGCTGCGCCTTCTTCTTCGTCTTCAAATAAATTTAAGCCCAAATAGGAAAAGCACGCGCGCGAAGAAGGGGGCGGACGGAAAGAGAGCTAGTTTTGTGTTCCATTAGCAAGATTGGGCGGCTCTCCACAAAAACCAAGGCAACAAGCAAGCAAATTCCCTTATAGAGAGTGTATAGCAGAGGGTCTTTTTTCCTTTTCCTCTGCTTCGTGTTATTTTTTTTTTCTTACCCGTCGTCTGCTCTGGAATAAGACGCGCCGGGCGGACCAATTTAATTTC